TACGGGTCGCGCCTAACTTTGCAGATCTCTAACCGACAATGCTAGATATTATATAAAACTTTCAAGTAAAAAATTTTAATATATTTATTAAAAATTTATTAGAGTATATGAACAAGGAGAGGAATCGGATGGTAAAATAGTTCTGCCATTATTTGATTTATATGAAAATTTATTGTAAACTAAGCATTATTCGTTTTCAGCACACACTTAAAATCTCATTGCAAGTGTTGACATTGAAAAGGCAGGTTACGATGTCCATTTTAAAACTATTTCAAAATTTACAATTTTGAAGTGTAAGCTATTGTGGAATAAACATTAGCAATCTTCAAATGTGCTGCCATTTTTAAGAAAAACATGGGAAGATATCTAATTAAACCGGTTATAACCAGGGACCCGAACGGTTATTTATAACGGTTCAGTTTGGTTACGGTTCAGTTTGGTTACGGTTCAGTTTGGTTACGGTTCAGTTTGGTTACGGTTCAGTTTGGTTACGGTTCAGTTTGGTTACGGTTCAATATGTAAAAAATTATAATGGTTACGTTTTGGTTACGGTTCTTAAGAAGAATTTATAAAGGTTCGGTTCAGCTAATTATAAAGGTTTATAAAGGTTCATTACGGTTAGAATTTTTTTTTATTGAAGCAACACCATCTTCTAATTTATTTTTATTATAAGCATCTATGAATTATATATAAAAAAATTTATATAAGATTCAAAATAACTCATTTTTAAATATATTATTTGAACGTATAAGTAATATATTTTCTAATATAAATGGATTCCTTTTTGTTCGTTATGACGATATCACAAATTTTAGCCCTGAAAAAGACTTATCTACAGAAACTTGTGTTGCGGTAACCGCCAGTACTATAAGAGCAAGTTTATATAATTCTGGATATTCAAATTATTTCCATTTCTAAAATATAAAAACGGAACCTGTTTACCCGGTTTTTATAAAGGTACTTTTTACTCCTTCAAAAAATAATTATATCGGTTCGATTACTGTTATGGTTCAGATATTTATAACGGTTTATAATTAACGGTTTGTTACGTACGGGTCCCTGGTTATAACAAGAAAACTATTTTTATCTCCGTGAAACTAAATATAGTTTTATTAAGGAGAATTGCAAAAAATTTGACGAATCTTGTGATAAATCTGAATTACAGAGATTGTATGGTTTAGTGTTAATTAAGAAATATGATATATATATGATTTTATAGGTTATGAGCGATTGATATGGCTCTTTCAATTTTAGAGAGCGAAGAAAAAATGCATTTGGGATATTTCACTCCCATTATCATATTAATATTTAAAAAATGACTTTAAATAATTTCAAGTTTTGTAATCCTTATTAATTCAATCTTGGAAGGCGTAGATAAGCATACAGTTCAGATATTGCTTACAATATATAGATTGTTTATCTGTTATTTTAAATAGATTCAAACATTCAACAATAATTAACCCACTATTTAAATTGGATTGGCTCTGGATCAAATTAGAGGTAAACAAAGGAAGAATGCTAGAACTTATTTCCAGTTTGAGAAAAGATTTTGATAAGGAAAGAGCAAACGTAGTTCCTTTATCCAACACACATACCAAAATATTTTCTGATAAAAATAAATTTTTTTTTGATGAGGAAATGAATGAAGATATTTGTGAAGATGATCTATTAAGCTTTTTCCAAAATAAAGATAATTCTTTAAATACTTTTAATTAATTCCCCGAATTAAAATTTTTATTTATTAAATATAATAAAACTCTCCTATCATCTGGCCAATTGAACGTGTGTTTAGCACGGCGAAAGCCACAGCGAAAGCTGCTTTGAGCACTAAGCCCTCTTGTTTGTCTGATCAAAATTTTGAAAATCAATTGTTGCTAAAAATAAATAAATTGTTATAAAAAGATGTTATCTTATGTATAATATATTATTTTTGTATAATTTTATTTATATAATATATTACAAAAAAAATTAACCCGTTACTTTTTTGAATAGTCAGTAACACGCTTTCCTTTTTAATAGTCAAGTATAGGATATTCAACGGTATTCATTTATTCAGGCATATGATATTTAACAGTATTCAATTATTTAAGTATATAATATTCAACAGTATTCAAGTAAATGAGCCGCACTTGAAATTAATGTTATGTAGATTTGAAATAAATTATATCATAAATATTTTTCTTATACTTTCTAACATTTTAGATTACATCTGTTTTAGGTTTACCAATATCTGATGATATTCCCATAATTGATAGAGAGTTGAACTTAATATAGATTCCTCTGCAGGGTCAGTGCATTATTATTTTTATTTTGTTTTTATTTTAGAAAATGATTGTACAAACTTTGATTAATCATTGCCAAGCAAAGAAAGAAATTGCAGGTTAATCATCTTTCCTTATTAATTTCCTTTCCATATTCCTTTTTCTTTCTATTTTCCTTCCTTTCCCTTCTTTCCCTTTCTCTTTCTTTTTTCCTTTTTCTCTTTTCCTTTAAATATTTTTCCCCCTTTTCTTCTCCCCCTTTCCTTTTTCTTTTCCTTACCATTCGCTTTCCTTATTTCTTTCAATTTCCCCATTTCTTTCCTTTTTTCTTTTTCTTTTCCTTTCACTTTTTCTTTTCCCCTTTCTTTATCTTTTCATTTTCATTACCCTTTTTCTTTTCTTTTAGCCTTTTTTTCCCTTTCCCCTTTTCTCTTCCTTTACCCTCTTCCCCTTTAATTTCTTTTCCATATTCCTTATTTCTCTTTTCCTTCCTATCCATTTTAAATTCTCGTTTATTTAATCCTTTAATGTTGATTAATAAAATAAATACAAAAATAAGTAAATTTTATGTCATTTTTTATTTTCCTATACTCCGAACCCTAACAAACCTGGTTCATAGATTTTACACTGAACCTGGTCTCGGACCTGATGTTTTTTAGAACTGGGGTTCATAGCGTTGATTAGAATTTTTATTAATTTTGATGGTCAATAAATCTAATAAAGAAAAAGTCTTGAGAGGTGATTTTTAATATTTCACAACAATATTCGTATATATTACTAAACATTAAATTATGGTAAAATATAACTTTGACAAAATCATAAAAAAATAACCTCTATTAAAACAATCGTTTTCATGATTTTCATATATTTTGTTGATGAATTTAACTTAATTTTTTTTTGATTGAGCAAAAACCTTCTGTTAAAGGAAACATATATTCTAGAAAAGTGGGTTTAAATAGTTTAAAGATCTAAAATATTTAAAATTGCGTCGAAATTTCTTAATTAAAAAGGTATATTTACTAATTATAGATTTTTGTGGAGACACCAATTTAAATGGCAAAGACTTGGAAATTGATAGCACTTAATTTTACAGAAGAGATTCAAGTTAGATTTGATTAATTATTTTATTTATTAGATATACTTATTTGAAAGTATATATTTAAATGTTTACTCTGAATCCAAATAATATGGGAGCGTGATAATTGGCAATACAATAATGATCGTGGTCAGGTTGTAAATAAGAAAGTAATAATTTTTTTTAAATTTAGTATACTCAATTTAGAGTTCATCTTACATATAATTCATATTATTCTTTTTTTTGCTTAATTAAATATCATGATTAATAATTTTAAAAATAGGAAAGTTTTTAAAAAAAATATATGGATATGGATATGATTTCAATTCATTATCTTAATTTATTTTGTTGACATTATTTAAAATAACTGACTAACAAAGCCATAAATTAGCATATAAAATAAAGAAACACTTCGATTAAATTCAATTAAAATGAAAATAATATTAAAAATAGCATAAAATATCTGTATGTCGTATTTAATTATTAAATATAAAAAAACAATCCCTAGTTTTTGGTATTTTAAAGCCCAAGAAAAAATTATGAACTAAACAATGAATATTTTATCAAATATAAAATTCGGCTTCCATTTTTTTTGAAGCGAAAAATTAATACTACTTATATTAATCGCAATAATTTTAAATCCAATTATTTTCAAACATCATTTATTTAGAAAAAATGGCCACCGATCATTTTAAAACGAATAATCAATATTTTTAGAAATGATATTAATGGCAATCATTTTAATTTTGAAATTTCAATCATAAAGAAAAATGGCCACTTGAGATATTTATTACAGCAGTTATTTTACAATGGTAGTCATTTTGCAAGAGCTACAACTGTTTTAAAATGACAGTTCGTGGTAAAATGACCCACAGCATTCGAAATTTAACAGTCAATTTTTAATGGCACACCGGATGCTGGCTAAAAAATTAATTAATATTAAGTTTGCCTCTAGTCAGCCTATATAAAAGAATTAAATTTAAAATTTAATAAACAAAAATACTAACATAGAAATACGAAAAACAGTAGTTTGTGAAAGAACAAAAATTCATTTGAGTTAAAATAATGAAAACCCTGGTTGGGCCCTAGGTTTTATTTATAATCGAACACAACTTTTGCCTTATAGCATCGGTGTGGATAATGAAGTTTATACACGCAGAGCACTAAAAACGACGGTTGAAAGAGTTGTCAAATTAAGATTCCAATGTTAAACCTTTGATTCGGAAATATAGTAATGCCTTAGAGGATTAGAAGATTCAACTTAACAAAAAAACGAGAAATTATCTTTTTTTAGGAAATATTTTAGAAACGACCAAAATATTTTCAACTCTTTTATTTAGGACATATTTTTAAATAACCTTTTCTTTAGGAAATATTCAAAATCGCCTCTGTTTAATTGGTATTTTCTAAAAAATTTAAAAATTGGTTCTTTATATTTTTTAATAACTTGAGCCCCCTCCCCCCTCCCTAACACATACATCTAGTGACGTTACTCATGATCAAATCGAAATCTAGAACCGAGCTCCTAATGTGCTTCTAAAATTTATATTAGAAACTTTGACTTAAAATATTGACACTTTTGTTGAACAGGTTATATTTTTAAATATATATTTGTTTATGGATATCCAAGTTTTCTATTCTTCATTATTCGTATATCATAAATTTTCATAATGATCGAAAATAACGTGCATGCATTAAATTTAAATAATTTTTATGGCGACGAAATATTTGTAATTAGTATTAAGTAGTTTCCTATTATAATTTTAATACATAGATTGGAGAAAAAGATCCAGGATTTCAAGTGGAAAGTCTTATCATACCACATCACTATAAAAAGTTATTGCAACATGTAATGATTCCATATGGCCTTGTAAATGATCGGTATATATTTTAAATTAAATTATATATATATAATACATATAAAGGATTGAAAAGTTAGCACTAGATATTGTCAATACCTATGAAAGTGAGTCACTAATGCCAATATGTGTTCTTAAAGGATCATTCCAATTTTTTAATAGTCTTATTCAAAAAATACAAATGATTTCAAGTTTTAGGGCTGTCAGCTTGCCTATTGCTTTTCATTTTATACGTGCAAAATCGTATACAGTATATTTAAAGATTGATATAGATATATTAACTAATTTAGGGTATGGTGAGGGCAAATAAAATAGAAATTACTGGATTAGATAATATGGATGATATTGAAAATAAAGTATTCATTTTATTTGTTTTTTTTTAAAAAATCAAAATTAAGACTTTTTTAATGAGTTACCTAATCTATTTATATGAGTGTTTTCAACTTTTTAAAAATAATAAGACCTGTAGGGCCCATGGTATTTTCATTTTTTTTAAAATATACCCAAACCAGGACCAATTTTTTTTTAAAATCAGGCTGGGCCTAAAATATATTTTTTTTAAATTACCTGGGCCGGGCTGTAAATTATAGATCCCCATTATTGGTTATAGAAATTAAATATATTAAAAAAAATATCCAGGTATCTGATATATATACAGCAATTTCTAAATTATTTATATTATGTTTAATAAATATTATATAATCAATAAATTTTTCAAGATGCTCTACATTACTTTATATTGAAATCATAAATTTACTTATTATTGTGTATCAAAAAATCAGTCAATACATATATTTTTTTAGGATTAATTTAAATTGTTTTGATTTAAATAATTTATACTTAAAAACATATAAGAGTAAATGTTAAAAATAAGAATTTTTTAAAGCTCTCTACATACATACTTTTACTCAAAATATATAAATCAGAGACCTTGTCTAATGGAGCTGGCTGAACATTACAATGAGCTAGGACAGATTAAACCCATACTGAAATCTTAGTCAATATATTTTGTTTAAGGAAAAATCTACATCATATTTATATCAGAATTTTCTATTAAATCCTTAAGCTATTAACATAATTTACAAAAAAAATTTGAACTTAAATGACCTATTAATATATTAAAAAAACATATTTTAATAATAATAAAAAATCATTTTATTAAATAAAAAATTTGAATAAATTTCAGAAAAGAGTTTGTATTTAAACTGAAGGGCAACATTGCCATTTATTTTCAATTAAAATATAATGGTATTTTGCCAATAATTTGTTTAGAATTTTATAAATTTCATGTTCCCATGAAAACAAGTATTTAAGGTATAGCCAGTTAATGTAGTTATATGGTTTCACTCATCATTAGACCTGAGTATTGATGAAAAAATTATTGGTGACAGCATTTCACATAAAGCTATCAGTGATTGGTGGCACCGATTTTCACATGATTATATTGGTGGCATGTTGAATTTTTCATTACCTTAAAAAACTATTTTACATTTTTTTTAACTTAATTGACCCGAACCCTAAATTTTTTTTAAAAAATTTTGCTGGCCTGGCCCAAATTTACTTAAATATAGAAATTAATTTTTATAATTAATCAAAATAAACGATATATGTTATATGGCGTCTACTTTCTATAAATAAAATCACATATTTTTATTTTACATAAAAAATTCAACAAATTGATAAATTTAGATATATTTTAAAAAATTTCTAAGACCCAACCCGGCCTGAATTTTCTTAAAAAATATACTCTTGCAGATCTCTAATCACAGTAGCATAATTGCACAAAAATTGAACAGTGGTTTAACATTTTCAGATAAGTGTTCACTATATTCATCAATTTGGGGTCTCTAAGTGCAGCCAATACCTTGTAAAAAAATAAAACAATTTATACAAAAAGATTAAATGCCATAAGATCTGTGATTGGAAATCTGAGATTCAATTTATTAAACATATTTTATTTAAGAAGAGATATATCAACATTATTATTCACATTAGCAAGCTAAGTTTGTGGTGAATTCTTTTTGAGATGATGAATTATCCACCATATTTTTAAATGATACAAGGAATTTGAGAAGATCTTCCAGTATCCCAATCAGAATTAAACAATTTAAGGTCATTTTTCTTCATTCTATTCAACATAATATTGATTGGGGCTTTGTTCACTTTTAAAATTTTATGATGATATTTGTCACATATTATATCATCATCATAATTATCTGGTTCAAAACCTCTAGAGGAAAGGATCTTCATAATCCAGATCTAATATGTCTGATTTAAGATCTATTGTCTCTAAACACTTTTTTTTCTGGATTAATTAAATTATCGAGATCGGAGGTCTTGAATCCTAATCTAAATATAATTTCTTTCGATCCACTGGTACAAAATTATGTAATCCGTGTTCCAAACATAGATTATTTTCATATTCGCCTAATCGGACACTTATTTTGACATTAGAGCCTGCATCCATGACCATTTAAATTGTTGTATATCGATAGAATATTAAATTTTCGAAAATATTTAATTAAAATTTATAAATTTTTTATTATATACTTGAAATTGAAATCCTCATCGATTTTATTTTTATCTAATAATGAGTACATCGATATATAATTTAAATTTCGAAAAAAATTAATTATATTTTTTTTATATACTTAAAATCCTCATCAAATTTTAAATCCAATAAGGTGTATATCGATATTTAATATTGTTTTCTAGTAATCATTTATAATTACGCAATTTTCATTAAAATAATTAGTTGGATAATATTTCTATTTTCCTTGAAATTTTTATATTCATTATGTAGACATTTATAGACATCAAAATATCTTCAACCATTTGCATAGAGAGGAAATAAATAAAACTTCGAGGAAATTATAATTATATTTACTCTATGTTTCTGTTTTCAGCCTATAAATTATATTGTGTGGTTAAAAATAGCATCTATATTTATTTGATATTCAACTTAAGAAAATTCTAACAACATTTATTTTAAAATTTATATCAAAATGACTAATATAATTATTCAAATAAATATTAATTTAAATCTATTCAATTTAAAAAAATATATATTTCGTTAAATTAGGGAATTTTATGATTACACTGTTATCATATAAATAAATGTATCGACTGGGTATTAATATTTGTTAATAAATAATTCATTTTTAAAAAATTTTATAATTAGTTATTCATTTATACAAAAAATTTTATGATTCTAAAGATTAAAGATATAGAAATAAATTTTACAAGTGTAACCTTTTATTTTATCTGACAAATACTCAATTCTACTACAACTGCTTTCAGATCTTTCTTGCTTATTTGTATTTGCTCTTACATTCTATAGACGATGCACATTTTATGTGGATAATTGTACATAATGTATAAATTAGTATAATAATTTTCTCAAATATGTTTTAGAAAAATTATTATATTTATTTATTTGAGATCCATTTAAATTATTAATGAGAAAAATTCTTTTATTTTTAAATTTTAAGATGAAATTCCAATATTTTAATATTTCATTATAAAATTATATGAAATCGATACAATGATACAAATATATTTTTAAATAATTGTAACCTAATTAGATTGATAAACCTGCTTTAAATATATATATTAGTGAATTAAATCAATATATTTATACATAATATTTAGGAGTATAATTGACCTGTCAATTCGAATTTGACCGGTCAATTGATCGACTTGCCAATCCTGCTTTATTTAAACAAATCAGATACTCTCTTAAAATTTCGTAAAAATAATTGAATTAATAAAATAACATTTCCATCTAATTTATTATTAAATTTATAAAGATAGATATATTTATAATGTTTTATATGATTATTAATAAATATAATAGCCATAATAGAGCTACTTTACGCCGCCCCCGATTTAAAAAAATTCTTAATTATTGCAGTTCCCCTATATTCCCCATACACATTTAAAAAAAAAATATTCAAAATTACAACAAAAAAAAATTAATAAAGAACGTTTTAATAGTTGAAGATATTGTAGACTCGGGCAGCACTTTGAACAAATTGATGGAAACGTTCAAGTTACACAAACCAAAAAGCATCAAAGTAGCGAGGTGTTTTTTAATATATAAAAATAATTTATGTTTTAAAAATAAAATCAATTTTGTACAGGCGTCGCCGAGAGGGGGAGGGACATGTTTAGTTTAATTTAGACCTTCCTAAAGAAAAAAATTTCCCAGAACGACAAATAAATAAAAATTGATTTTTTTAGCACTTCTTAATTGCTATATTTTTAATCGTTTAAGCCAATTTTTAGCCAACAGGGTTTTTCTTAAAAATAGAGCAGCTAAAATTTGAAAGAAACTAATATACATTAAAACCCCTTAATGTTAACGGATTTTCTATGCCACGCGCCGCCTGTAGATTGAGCCGACATTAAGCCATTACCTAACTGATAATAGCTTAGAGAAGCCATTGTTTTACATATTATCGCTTGAATATTGGAGTGTTCTACTAGCAACATTTTACTTAAGATGAGTTATCTTTTAAAAATAGGTAAATGTTTTTTTATTATTGTATAATAAGCTTATTAATAACGAATCGAACAGTAAATTATTCGTTTTGTTTGAATATGAATAAACAATTATTAATAGAACGAATAAAAATATTTAATAATATTTTTTTAAAACAATAATTTTAGGAAAAAAGAGTTGCAGTCAAATTGATTTTTTTCTTTAAACCTAAATAATCAACTTTTCATATATAAACTAATTTTAAAAGATAGCTTATTAAAATTCTATAAATTATATATAGCATTAAACTGGATTTCATGAGATTCATACAATTGATAAAAAAAATAATATCCAAAAATAAGAATCAGAGAAATTTTTAATCTGATATTTAGATCAGCTCTCGACTTAGGTTTTCTTGCTATGGTTAAACGCCCATTTTATTTATCAGTATTTTAAACTAAATATAGTGTCAATAAAAAAAAAATTCTGTCGTGATATTTTTCGTATGGACTATTTTAAATTTTCAAAAATACGAATTATTTAATAATTTGAATCGAACAAAGATAGTAAATTTTTATTGTTCGATTTGCATTCATTTTTTAGGCCTAATTTATTTATGTGTAAATCAAATTTGATAAAAAAATGTAAGAATTGAATTGGCATTTCATATTGCGATTTTAATTCTTATTTTACATAAAAATTCATGTATATTATATTTTTTGAAACTTTCAATTTAAAAAAAACTTACTTAGAACACTCCAACAAACAAGGGACAGTGATCTATAGACTTATTTAAATTGTTTACGGCAAAAAACATTTTATTAATTTAATCTTTTTATTAACTCAGTTTACTGTACAAACGTAACATGGCAAATCAGTACCCATACAAGCCCGAATGTAAGATTATTCCCATATTATTTTTTCTATAATAATGATACTATGACTACGTCTTCTCAGTCAATTGAAAATAAAGCTCGAATACACCCATTTTATATAAAAAAAGTTATTAATGCGCTAGTTTATTGCTAGCGAAGACAGTCTATAAATTTAAATTATATTTTCATTAAAATAGATATAGGCTTCAATATTCCGAATAAATTTGTTGTTGGGTACGGCTTAGATTATCATCAATATTTCAGGGATTTAAATGTAAGTAATACAAAATAAAAAGTTATCGTAAATTGATGTTGTAAAAAGTTTGAAAATTTATTATTATATATATAAGATTCTTGAGGTTATATTAGATTGTTTATAATTAATTATCGGTATAAATTTTTCATTTAAATATATAAATATAATCTATTCATTAATTTAGTTATAAAGAATTTCAGTTACCCCGCGAGGGTTTTGTTTAACATTCAGATTCACTAATGATATTCAAAAATTTTACAAAAAATTTTGAATTGTTATATCTGCATCCAATTGTTATAGGATTTTAACTCCATTTTTGGATTTCGCTAATTTATGTTATTTAAAAAATATTGTTATATTAAACAGATGACAGGATTTACATTGAAATTAACCAAATGGCATAAATATAATTTTTTTTTCAAAAATTTTTAAACTTTTGTTTGATCATGCGGGATCAATATTTTTTCCTGAAAACAACTTCTAAGATTTAAAAGACCATAGAGATATGGGTCAGTGCCAATATATTTTTAAAAAATGGCTCAATAGCTACTCACTTATCTAATCTTTCAAATTTTAATCATTTTCCTAATATCTCTTAACATTAGCACATATGCGTGATAAACGAACTTGGAATTCAACAGTATCAAGAAAAAGATGGCCACATATCGAATGAGAACACATCCGTAGAGGCCTAAACGTCTCACTAATATCTTCTTTTTTTTTATAAAATAGAAAATGAATTTGTGCATGATTTTCTAAATAAATAAATTATATCTCATTTTTATCAACTATCAAATTGTATAGGTCACATTTTAATATAACTCATAGGTAGTTTATTACTTTTTTTGTCACTATTAAATATATAATTTTTTTTCACAATTTACCTTTTCATTTTAAAGATATTTTTAATTATCACATTTTAAAGAAAATATGTTTTCAATTTTTTATTAGAATTTTAAATAGGATTCTTGAATAAATTATTCGCATTTCATTCCTACTTTTTAACATTACATTGCTAATGCGTTTATTATATGACTACGATAACGCATATTTAAAAAATACTCATCTCACCTTTTTGCATTTATGATTTTAAATTACACCTTTTTCACTTTATAATTTATATCATTTTTTTGTGACTATCAATGAGTATCTGGTTCCTTATTCATATAACTATAGAAATACTAATGAAAAACAGAAAAAATAAAATCACAATTTAGATTATTTTATTTATATTTATTTAAAAAAATGGTTTTTTTTAAAATAAGAAATTATTAATATTCAGGCGCGACGTCAGAACTCGCTATGGGAAGAGGGAGGAGGGTGATAATTAATTATTTTTTTTATTTTTTTAATTTCAAATATAAAGTAATGATAGTATAAATGTCAAAAAAAATTTTTAAGCATTTAAAATTTGATATTTAAATTTTATTTTAAAAAAAATGTTGGAAATATAGATTTTATGCACAAAAATATTCTTAAAAATAAGAAGCATATTATAAATTTATGATACGAAATTCATTCTTTTTTTTGGATTGAGCTAATTTTAAATGATTTCATTATTACTTAGTATCAACTCCCTATGTATATTAAGATGGGCTAAGCCATTTAATTTATTTTAAGAGGCAGTCTTCTTGCTAGTGTAGTTAAACGACTCGATCTAAGCCAATTTTGAACGGCTACTAACTTAATATTTTAATCAGAAACATTATCAACCATATTTAACTTTTATACCATGGTTTGCGTTTAGCTAATAATGCATCGTCATGGGATTCTTTAACTTCGCAAATTCCGAATATTCAACCTTTATCTATCAAGATCGGAAGGAATCTACGATTAAAATATTTGTAGAGTTGTAAGTGCTGTCTGATTAATCAAGAACCTTTCATCTTTCATTCATTTGAATTATAAAAAGTATCCAAGAGGGTGGGGGGGTCTTCAATATTAATATTAGAACGATAGACTTATCTTTCTTGCTATGAGTCGAGGTAGACGAATATTAAATTCATTGAGCTCTGCTTTTGACTCAACAATCACATATGATTTATGAAATTCGTCGTTTACATTTGCCCCAATTACTTTAAGTTTACATACTCTCCGCTATTCTCAGAGTCTCAATCAAATCGATATCATTTTCTTAAATGTTTTACTTTATTTTTATAGTGAAAAATTTCAAAAGATTTGGTGGATATTTTTAAAATGGTAGGTATATAATAATGCAAGAAAAATTTGAAATCGATATTATACAGTAAATTAGTAGCGTATTTATTTCTCCCGTAAATGTGATAAATCAATGTAAATTGGAATATATATCGATAAGAGGTAGAAATTATCAAATATAAATTAATAATCATAACAGTCATTTTTTTTGAAAATTAAACAGACACCTGATTTTTTTGTGGAAGGGAGAAGGGTTATCCCCCTGCCTTCTTTACGGCTGCATATGCGTCTATTACTATTATTTCTCATCTTATAACTAATTAGCTAAATTAATTTTATGTTTATCCTCAAAAACAATGAGAACACTATTACTTTTAAAAAGTAAAGTGGTTTTTTCAATTAGATACAAACTAATCCCTCTTCTATTTTTCGTCACATTTTCTTAAGTATGAACTGGAAACTGCCGATGCCACTATTGAGGGTATAGGTGTGGCCAGGATTTTTATATGTTAAGAATTTTTAAATGGTTCCTCTTACCTCTTATAAATTTTATTGGATTGCACTTTTTTGCAATTATTTTTTATAAAAAAATATTAACTTATACTTTTTTTGTACTTTCCCTATTATTTTATAGAATTAGAATTTATAGAATTACATGATTATATAATTAAATTAGGAAAAAAAATTTATATTTAATATTTATGTCATTTTTATATTAAAGTTGTAATTTTATATAGATAGGTGCCTCTACACCAATAAAGCCAATGATGATATAAACTCCTTCCTTCCACCTGCCCCCATACCGAATTAAGATTTACCACAAAAAAAATGAAATTATATCAAATATATATTTAAAAAATCTGAATTTCAATAACAATCTTCCAAGCCATACCCTCCCAGTGGTTGAATGAAATACATGAGGCCTAATATTACGTGTTTTTTATTAACAATATTTAAACATGGCCATGTCACGAATATCATTTAGGATTATTCCTCGAATATCATTTATTTTTCGATTCATACGAATATTAATTCAAATAATTTTAAAAATTTTTAGTCCTGCGCAAAAATCTAATTCTAAATTTATCTTTGCCTATTTTGTCGATTATTTATATCAAAATTATATTTAAAAAAAAATGCAAATAATCAAATATTTTAGACAGAATTGTTTCTAAATGTATGGTCAAAAAATTCCCAAATTTGACGTCGAAATTTTATATCTTAAATTTTATTATATGAGTTTTAAGTCTGACAATATAAATTTAATAATTCTCAGCTTTAAATCCAATAATGATAAAAAAATATTTATTCGCATTGCAAATTTACCTTCATCATCAAATTTAATTAATAAACCAAACATGAGGTGTTTAAATTATGTTTTATTTGAAGAATTAGTCCTTTTACCAAAATTCTTAAAATGATCTATGATTATTATATTTAAATTGACAATAAAATATTAATAAACTAAAATTTTCAAGTAATGCGTTCAATCTTTTACCAACCATTGTTATATTATCTATTCCACCTATCTTCATTGCAAGAATATTTTAAATCATGACAGGTTCCATTGAAATGTATTTATTCAGTTTCAGTATACTTTATTAAATATCAATAATGCTTATATCTAGGGGTGTACCGATACCACTTTTTGGAGGCCGATCCAATATTCCAGATATTAAATTGATATCGGCCGATTACCGATCCGATATCATATCTAATTTTGGATTCTGTAAAGATACCAATGGTTTTAATTTTTAATATGTTTTTTATTAGTATAACATCTATAATTTAACTATACCATAACATATGTCATTTAAATATATTATAACAGGCGCGTACGCAGGAATTTGGTCTGGGGAGGGGGAGTAAATTTTTTTGAGAAATATTATTGTTTTTTATAAATATTAAGCATAAATTTATTAGGACTAATAACTATTCCTAATACACAATAAATTAATATGAATAATAAAAAAAATTATATTTAAAGAATCACTTAAATGACCCAAAATAGAAATTTGAATTTTTTGAGCCTTTACACAAAAGGTTTCTTAGGAATAATTGTATTTTATATGTTATATATTTACAATGTAAAATCCAATCTTCGTTGGAATTGAGCTAATTTTTCAATTATCTCATCCTTGCTTGTCGTCAAATGCCTATGAATATTCAAAAGATCCAAACCTTTCAATCTACTTTCACATTTTGTTATTTTTGGTATATTTTTCAGAGACCTGCAGGTCCGGCCCCTGAGCCGGACAGTATTTTAATTTTTTTAAATATACCCGGGCCGGGTCTGAAATTTTTTTAAAAAAACACCCAAGCCGGGCTATATTTTTTAAAACAGCCTATATTTGAAATCGTTATTATTAGCTATAAAAATCAAAAATAAATATAATTTATCTTAAAAAAATCCGGGTCGGGCCTGAAAATTTTATTTAAAAAAACGCCGGGCCGAGCTTCTAAATTTTAAAAAAAAAACCGAGCAGCCTAAATATTTTTTTTAAAAAAGCCGGGCCAGGCCTGAAAATTTTTTAAAAAAAACCCAGGCCGGGCCGTAAAAAATCCTGGCCGTGCCCTGCAAATGGTACTTCTGCAGGCCTCTGTTATTCTTCTTAAAAAAGAGAGTGTTCTCTCATTAGTTTACTAATGGGAAGAGTTTATAAACCCTTTTAATACATTGGGAATTTAATCTAAAATGTGTGTGAAATAATGCAGAGCATCCATAGCATTTTTTGGGACTATATCAACTATAGTTAATCTTATAAACATAGTTATTCAGCTAGTAAGGCATCATAAGATACTTTAACATCTTCATAATAAAAATCTAACAAATATTTTTTTTCTATCACCATTGAAAAGGAGGGAAGGCTTTTGTGGAAGTAATATTTGCAGATGTAAGTGCTACATGATATATTAAAAATTCATTTATTTAGGTTATAAATGTATCTGCATCTAAGATATACTCTTCTACTGATCCTATATTAATGTTTTAACGATGAGCTTGCCTTGCTACACGAGGGAGACAAATATTAAACACGTATAGCTCTGCTTTTGACTCAATAATAAAATATAAAATTCTTCATCAACATTAGCCCTAATTTCTTTGAGTTCTGATAAAATGCTCTCCGCTATTCTCATCTTCTTAATCAAATCAATGTCATGTTTTTGAAAAGTAATACTTAAAATAGTTTTATAATTAAATAATACATTCTAATGAGAAATAAAATTTGGAATAAGCATTGAATCCAATAATTTTCTTGCTTCTGAGGAAATATTTCTTTCAGGCCATTGTGATATTTCAGTAATAGCAAATAATTGGCTCTTCTAACTCCTTAATAGCTGTTAGTGTTTGATGGAAGAGGCTCTATCTCGTTGGACAAGGTTGCAATTTCTTTTTCCCTGTTGGACCAGAAGTTTCAGAAATAATTATTATTTGACTAGAAATTTGAAAATGGTAGATAAATATTACGCCACTAAAAATTTGAAAATAATAAGTAAATATTACGCCGGAAAACTTGAAATCGAAATTAATTGATAAAATAACTTATGAATGTGATAATAAATGTAATAAAATATATATTTAATATGAGATACGAATAAATATTAACAAATATAAATTAATATAAACAATAATATTTTTGAAAAATATATCCGGCATCTGCATTTTTTGGCTTTGGGAAAGGGGGGATTTGTACCCCCCCCCCCCCGCTGCGTACGCCAATGTATTATAATGATCAGTTATAGTTTATATTCAATTCAATTGCAATTCTAAAAGTATATAAAATATTTTTATTGATAAATCACTTATTTATATAATAAGTAATAACATTAATCTATTTAAATAATTATTAATAAACAAATATATTATGAAATTTGAAATAAATATTTAAAATAAATATATCAAAAATTTCTTTTTAGAAATACCAAAATTTCCAATTTATCTGAGACCAGTCTGCGGTGATGGGGACTGCCAATATCATTAGCATTACTAAAAACAGATTCTGAAGA